CGCTTGCTGGTTAGTGACCATTGGACGTGCCTAAATTGCCGCTAAATTGTTATCTATGAGTGCGGCGTGTGCGCTGGCATTCGGCAATGCCTCCGCTTTGGCATCCACTCAGTCTCGTAATTAAAAACACATTCAATGTGCGCAAAATCACAGGCCAACGAGGCCATTCTGCTCGGCAGCAGATGCCAGCAATTTCCATTAGGGCTCTGGACCAGACTCTAACACCCTGCACCACTCCGTTCCGTTCTGCTCTCCACCGAACCGGACCGCGCCATTAACTCTCGTTGTTTGACACATAATTCCATAACTCGCTGCCAGATCGCGGCCAGCGGGCTGCTCGGTTTATCTGCTCAGCCCACCTCGTGCAATTATTCGCTTTTTGGCAGTGCAAACAATTTCGATTTATCGACGGAGCTCACGCGGCGCATGCGTACAGACCGAGTCGGAGCACAGAGCCTCGGCTCGCATTCAAGACCTGACCACGACCACAGCTGCCATGGTGGCCACAGTCGCAGTCTGGGCAATGCTGTGTGTGGGTCGTGCGGTTTTGATTGTAATTGCATTGCATTACATATTTTTATTATGCCTCAAGGTCGTGTCACTGTAACGGCATGCCGATCTATATGGAATATTGGACAATTTTTATGTAAAAATAATCAATTGCAGATTTGTTTTATTGACTTTATTGGCAGACCCAGGCCCTGGGCACCACTCAACAGATGCATGCCATATGATATGTGCATGCAACTGACAACTCTGAGCGATAGATAGTTTCTATTATTCAGTGGTTCTGTTTGGCAGGTTGGGTTAATGTGATGCAAATAAGTTTATTTGAAGTCAATTAAGTTCGCAGAGTTTAAATTTCCATAAGCAATAGTAAGTAACCGACTACAGAATACTTGTGCCCAGTTTAAAAATCATCATTTTCTGATTTTCTCATCATCCATATAATGAATAGCGTATATGTGAAGAAATACTTGAAAAATTTCGAGACTTACCTTTAAGAGCCACGTCCTCAGGAGGTCATTTTGAAACGGCGAATCTAAGTAGTAGTAGTAGTAAATGATAGATATTAATATGCGATTTGCCACGATCCCAAAGTTGAGTAAAAAAATATTTTTGCAAATGAATAGAGGAAGTTAGCAGTCAGTCGATTACAATATTTTGATTTTCTAGTTATTAAATTGAATAAGATACAATATTTTTTGATGTGAGTAGATATATATTATATATCCATTTACAATGGGAATTCACGGAAGAATGGTTTTGTAAAAACGCATATAACGGACAGAAGGAGGCGTGACAGACACCATAAAGAATATAAATTTTTTATCCGTAGGACGAGCTGAGTCGATTGAGTCATCTCTGTCTTTCAGTCTGTACGTCTGCTAGATACATGAAATTTGATAAACTCATGTGTATCATACAAAGTTCAAGCTTATCTGTTTTTTTTTTCGATAATACGTCCCATTTCTTATTATCGATAATAATCGATAATTTGGCTTCGGCTTTAAAGTGTAGCTTAAATACCGTAAATATTGATCTAAGTTTGTAGTCCCTAGCTTCAATACGCTTTTTATATCGTGAAAAATGGTTCTTGACTTTCCACTGAAATCTATAGTTAGTATCTGAAATACTCAGATAAGATATGTATATTTCTAAAATATAAATATTTTGTTATTTTACTTAATCATATATCTGATTAATTTTTAGTTTTAGCTAACGTATGCACAGCTGAGCTAAGGCTGTGAAGGAAGATTTTCAGCTGTTTCCATTATTTCATGCCTTTTACGAGCTTTCTGAAACTTGATAGCCATCGCATGACTATTTAAGAAAAAATGTCAGTTTTCTAATGAAATGCAGCGCACCTATCCCATAGCTCAGCACAAGTCCGTAATTACCATAGCATTTTGCCAAGCTCTGTCACTCAGTAACTGACAGTTTTCGTATTCGTATTCGTTTTGGCAAACAACAGTTGGGAGTCAACAGCTTTCAGCAGAGCCTTCGGGTCGAAACCCTACAATGAAGTGTTTTATGACATATTTAACTACCATAATGCACATTATCCACTTTGCGCAAATTGCCGCCCCTGCGACTAGCGCCAAATATATTAGCACACGAGGCAGGCAAGGCAAAAAAAGAAGGAATTCGGAAAACAGAGAGAAAATAAAAAAATTTCACAAAAATTAGTCTAGTTGAGTACAAAGAACGACAGCGGCATAAAAAATGTGGCAGCACATAAATAAAAATTTAATTTTCCGCCTTTTTTATTTATTTTATTTTTTTTTTGTGTGCAGTGCAACACGCGATGACGCGACGGCTTCGCCAAACTCTCCAACTCAGTTTGTTCCGGCCATAATTATGTAGAGGAGAGAGAGTAGAACAGAAGGATGAAAAAATTACCAAAATATATTTAAGAGCGTCGCATGGCATTTCATTTTATTTACATGGCCAGCTTGACTGTGCTGAGCCATGCGGATTTGCATGGGGATCAGTGCAAATATTGTGGCACGCTGAGGCCTGAAAGTCTAGTGCGCAATTTGCTTGGGCCTCACGACGTATGTGTAATCTGTGCTGCCCTCTTGACAGCCACCAATAGCCAACTTCATTAGGCACACAAATTAAGCGATAAAGCTGAAGAAATTCATTAAGCAAATTCTCACACCGACAACAACAGCCACGGCAACAGCAGAAGCCCCCCAACTTGGCGAAAGGTGTTTACTAAAATGGCTACAGAAAATGTTGGTATGGGCAAGTCGACTCTCAAATGCACACTCTGGGAGTTTGGTATACCAAGTTAATATTAGCTTTGTCTATAATAGTATTATCTGTATCTAAAAAGCTCATTTTTATTGGCAAAAAAATAAAAACCGAAAACATTGAAAATATTTTGATATTTTTATCATTTTATAGTATTTTAGTATATGAATTTTCACATTCATTTATCGATTTATAGTTTGCTTCAAGTATAAAAGTCATTCTAGTAATTTGGTATACTCCAGATTGTAATATTGAATATTGTTGATTTAACAAGTTTACCTATATTTATTTATGTTATATATTATATATAATATAATATATATATATTATATATTTATTTATATTATATATTTATATATATTTATATTTATATATTAGAATAAACGAAATACTTTGAATAGAACTATCAGCTATTTTCTTCCGCTTAAACAGTAGTTGATTAATAAATCTTTCATCTGAAAGTGGAGTCTCAAGCATTAGATGAAAGTCGGTATGCACATGAGTCTGATAAGGGTATACGAAAAATGGAAAGGCATTGCTACAACCAATTGCCAAAAAGTTGCGCATGTGCAGGCGAGATTGAGATTCGATTCGATTGGAATTGGGGATTGTTGGACCATTCAACTGGTTGCTGGACTGCCTGACTGTCTGACTGCCTGACTGGCTGCTTGGCCGTGTGAACGGTCGCTTTGTATGTTAACTACACGCATGTAAAATGTACTTTCGATAGCGATCTCTCAGTCGCAGTCTCAGTCGCAGTCGCGGTCGCAGTCCCTGCTGCTGTTGCTCTCGACGTCTCAGCGAGCGGCATAGGTAAAGTCTTTTCGGGCTCTTTCATGGTTACCATTAATTAATTGAGCGTGCACTTACCTGGTTCGCGTCCTTGCCGCCTGCCGTCCCCATCGGGGCTCTAAGTGTTGGCTTGCGTTTGGCTTTTGTTTGCTTAGAACAATCTGCAACGCTGATCTCTTCGGGCGTTGCGGCTGCAGTGGCAGCTACTGAGCGCGAGGTGTTGCGGCATCAGCATCTAATGCATCTAATTTAATTATTATTTATATCAAGATTGTGGCACAGAACAGCAACAAAGAGTAGCTTTGCCGCCTCGTCGCTAATTTTAGTTAATGCTGCAACGCCGCCGCATTGTCTGTTCTAGCTAACTGAGACGGCGACGGCGTTAGCAACAGTGACTGCGCCGGCGACAGAAGTTGAGGCTGCGGCTTTGGTTGTGAGGCAAAAAGTGCGCCGAGAAATGCAATTAAAGTCATTTGCTGTTGTTGCTGGCGACATAAAATGCCGCTGCTGCGCTCCCCTGCCTTCAGCTGCTGCTGCGGCGTTGGCGGCGTCGCCACTTTTTGCATGCCACAAAGTTTTGTGCGCCTTTTTATGCCCATGGTGGCAATGCCGCCGCCAAGAGAATGAACGGTGCGAATGCGATTGGAACAGGATGCCAACTTGCCAGAGACAAAAAAGCGTCGGTCTCTCAGTCGGTCGGTGGTCGCTGGTCGCTGGTGGCTGGTCGTTCGGTGGCTGTTAAAAACCTCCTACTTTTCCTGCATTTCCGCTCATAATGATCATGATGATTGCATGCGTGGCTGATGGGATTTGAATGTTGCCCGTTGCCCGTTGCCATTTGCCAGTTGCCAGTTGCCGCTGCCTCTCACAACTCTTGTGTAAGCAAATACATACATACATGCATATGTATATGTATGTATATGAATATATATGTATATCGGTACATGTGTGTAATTTGCACCAGCATCGTGGGAGCGCACCTTTCCTTCGTGATTTGAACTTAAAAAGTTTGTTTGACCGCAGGCTGCGGCTACCGAGCTGACCGAACCCAAACTCAAGTCCAAACCGAGATCTAAGAGTAGACGGAGGCTGCACCTGTTACCCATCTGGGGCCATAAGTTAGCCAGTTGATGCGGCTTGATAAGCGTGCAGCAACAGCTCGTAAACAGCAAAGTTTTGTCTAATAAATTCACCGCTTGCACTTAGTAAATTTTCGTGGCTCGCATTATTTTGAGCACTTCATCATCAAATGCAGCGCAAAGTTGGGTCTTTTTTATGCTCAATTTACTTTGGCCAAAGTCGCATAAATCGTGGCCAGCAACTGGGAAGGCGAATGGGCTAGCCTAGCTAAGAGCAACAGCAGCTCCAGCTGCTTCAGTTCCAGCATCCAACAGCCAAGCTGAATGCTACCCACAATCCGCACACAAAACACTTAAGTGCCATAAAAGACATTTTTATTATGTCTTGTGCGCTGAGCTGAACCCCCAAAGTACAGGTAATTCTTTCACTTTACACTATTTTCCATTTTCTCTTTGTTTTCTGATTATTCAACATATGCTCGGTTCGTAATGCATTTGCCAAGAATCTGCTAATTTCATTTTACATGCACTATATCATAGAGGACTCTTGCGAGTGCAGAAAACTTCGAATCTTTAAAATAAAGCATAAGCTCGTTTTTATTTGTGCTGAACAAAATGACATTAGTTTTTATAAAAAATTTAATTTAATGGAAGTGAACTTGGGATGTCAAAATCGGCGTGGTTCTGTTAGTAAAACAATTTATTAATAACCAACTAATAACAGGCGTAAGTGTATTGTAAGTGTATACACTTGTCGTGTAGCAGGCTGCACTCATCTGATCTTCCTCTGCCCCTCTGTGCGTCCGTGTGCTCTGCTGCAAAAGTGTGGCAGACTGAAGATGTTGCCTGACTCTGACTCCCGCAACCGCTGCGGGCTGCCATGACCTGGCTTACTTGTTGCTTGCAGTTGGCTCTTGGCTGCTTGCTGTCTGCTGTCTGCTGTCTGCTTGAGCAGCTTATGCAAATTGTGTGCTTATTGCCCAGCCATGTGGGTGTCAGGCAGTCATCCAGCCAGTCAGTCAACTATCTGGGACGATAGACTTGTTGCCTTTGTTGACATTTCGTCAGACTGAAAGCGACTGGGTTTGCTTGGCAGACAGTCCAAGTAGGCTTGGCAGCAGTGATCAAGGCTTTGCAGCAACACAGTTTACAGTGTAATGCATCTTCAGTTTGTGTTTATCTGCTCGTTTATAGCAGTTGGTTTGTCCACCTACTACTTGCCATATGACCAAGATGACAGTGCTCAGCCCAAGAACCATCCTTATGCCAAATATGTAGTGTCGATACAGACGAAGATGCCCAAATCGCAATACTTTGGCACCAATCACCTCTGCGTGGGCACAATCGTGGCTCCCATCTATGTGCTCACTGCCTCGCATTGCATTTTTGATAGAAAGTAAGTGCACTTAATTATATATTGAAGGTTAGTTAAATATTTTAGCTATTGCAGAAGGCGCCTGATGCGTCCCGACGAGCTAGTGATCATCGCTGGAGCACCTAATCGACGAAAGCCCACAGAACACTCACGTCTCCTGCACATCCAGTCGGTGTACCCAGGTGAGCGTGAATCGGGCATCAAGTTTAATACCGATTTGGCTCTGCTGCGGCTTCAGGACCAAGATACACTTGAACTCAATCTCACATTCAACTTGGGCATCGCGAGACTTGCCACTCGTCAGTCTTATGCGCAGTTAAGGTGCATTAGACTTGGCTGGGGTCGAGCGCAGATTAATGAATCCTTTGCGGAGGTATTGGTGTCACTGGCTATGCAGCTGCAGCCCCAAAAGTTTTGCCACAGCTTGTATCCCGGCATCTATAGGAAGCAGCTGTTGTGCGCCACAGGCTTGCCCGATTCCTCGCAGGGTGTTTGTGGGGGCGATCCAGGTGGGCCGCTCTTCTGTGGCAGTCACCTGACAGGCGTTTACACCCGAGATGTCATGTGCAGCAATCGTTATCCTGCTATATTTGTTTCCATTGCCTCGCACTATGACTGGATACAGGGCGCCTTTTCAGGAGCCGAGAAAGCTCTTCCACTTTTAGTGTGGCTTAGCTTAAGAATTATTTGAATTGACTTTAAGGACATTTCCTGTGGCTTGAATACGTTTTCAATAATTTCATTAAACCAATTTTAAGATTCAATCAGCCTTGTTATTAACCCATTCACAGATTCTATTGCTTTCGACTGCTGCCTATTCATTAGGGTTCATTAGTTGCAATCAAAACAGCCAAATGGACAAGAAACAATTATCACGGCTACGCCTGCCCGGCGAAAAGTGCGCCCGTCAGCTGCACGGCTGCTCCCACCAAAGCCAGCCACTGCAACGACTGTAAGCACTGTAAGCAATTTAAGCAGCGGCTGCCATCGAGAGACACCAATAGACACCAGGCCGACAATCTGTTGACCTTCGACGGCTCTTGTGACGCCCGCCCATAGACAACAGCCAAGCCGAGCCCCAGCTCCAAGTCGCGATCGCGACGAAGTCTCTTGGCCAACAAAGTAACAAGTAACAAGCTGGCCGGGCCTAGCCGGGCCGGACTAGTCCCCCTCTCGCAGTGTCTACGTCTCTGCCTGCCCCTTGTCGATGCCGTCCACGTCTCCAAGTCCATTGCAATCTTAGACTTAGTCTTGGACTGATCTCAGCTGCGCCTGCGTCGCTTTCAATGGCGTTATTTATGTTTATTACCTCTAAGGTCGTTCGTTTCTCGATGCTGGCCGACTTGTTGCTGTTGTTGTTTGTGGCTTGTAGCAGTTGTTATTGCTGTTGTTGTTGCTGTCGCCGCTGTTGATACTATTTTGTACGCAGATATCAGTAAATTTAGATTTAAAGTGAATGCGCGCGTTGAGTGTCAAATGCGCCAAGTGTCAAGCGACAAGTTGTTGCTGTAGTAATTGTTGTTGTAGCTAGCTAGTGTTGCTGTTACAGGACATGTTGCTTGAGTGACGGTCCCAGCTGCCTGCACCTGTTCCTATTGCTCGCCACAGTCTGGCAGCACCAGTTACAGTTACAGTTATGAGAGGACGTCTGTCGTTGGCTCCGAGTCCAACCCGTTGCCCATATAAGACGCGGGCATAAATTTCCAATTGTTGCCCGCCCGCTTATGAAGACATTCAATAAGCTCACACGCATATACATTATTTACGAGGCTGTCCCGAATAGCCGAAACGCCAAGCACTGCGAAACGCACAGATTTTTGTGCTAATTTTATCACTTTGTGTGTCGCTCTGCCGTCACGACTTCTGACAGCACATAAATACTCATAATTTATTAATACGGTAAATGTTGCATGCAATAAGTTCATGGCGACAAAGGCAGCCACGGCAACAAGTGGTTGCCACAGGTCGCAATTGAAGTTCGCCTGTTGAGACAATTCGACGGAGCCAACGAGTTACTGAATACCCTTTACTTCAGTTTGTCTATATTTAAACAATTTTTTCAACTCAAAGCAAAGTTCTTAATTACTTTAATTTTTTCAAATTAATATTTGTAGATCTTTAAAAATATGAATAGTGACAAAACAAGCAAAACTCGCTCAATTACTTCAACTATAATTAGACCAATTCTGTCTTTTTTGAATATATATTACACACTTATCCAATCAAACAATGTCAATTAGGTACCTTTTGAAAGAAGCCCCTCAAATTATCAGCTTTAATTCCCATTTTTAGCTCTTTCTTTTCGTTTTTTTTTAAGTCATTCCTCACTCAGTGAGCCAACTAGTCTGCAATATAGCTTAATGATATATGGTTACAAATGCAAATCGTTTTTCAATGAGCTCTTCTTCGGTTAGTGTATAAAAAAGTGAATTTGACTTTAACTGGAGCACACGCAGTTCCAACGACTCTGCATAAATAATAATTTCATCATTGTGCGGCTGCGATGATTTATTTTGCTGACTCTATAAGGATTGGTTTACGCTTTTGACCAACTCCTTGTGCCCAGTTGCTGCCAGTTACGCCGTGTTGCGTCGCTGCTATCTCCCTATCTTGCTATATCTGCTTGTTGTCATAAGTGTGAGCGATTTATTGGCATTGTCCCTGGAACACTATGAACTGGCAACAATTGCACTTTACTTTTTCTCAATTCCTAATTCAATTTTGGTCCTGTCTTGGCAGTCTCTGTCACTTTGGGCTGTCACTTGTCGAAAAGGAATAAAGGAAAAGAAGTTGCCTTGGTTGCCTTTGGATGCTGCAGGAACGCCTTGAAACTTTGGCCTCAGATTAAGAGGAAAAAAACCTTTGGCGAAATATTTATAGCAATAATTTATTGTAGTTTGGAATTTATTGTCTACGACACGTTTCAATTGCTCGTCTGCTGTTAGAGAATTGAGAATTGTTGCGGCACTTAGCGAGCATGTTGCTGGCGGCGACGGCGGCAACGGAGGCGACTGTTGCAGCATTTGACACTTGCGAGATTTATCGCTGCCTCTCAGATACATTTCTAAGATGCCTGAGTTGGCAGCTAATGGAATCTTAATTTAGCAGTGCCAAAATAAAGCCAGCCGCATCAGCACCAACACCAACACCAACACCAACAGCAACAGCAAGCGCATCCTTAGCTGCAGCCACAGCAACAACACATTCGCAAATTCCATGCCAGTTGGCACCCTCAAAGCAATTGAAGCTGGCCGAACATTTCAGTCGAGTTGTAAATTGAATTAAAATGATTCGCGACAGACTAAAGGGTTGTCGGGTTAGCAGTCTTTGCACGGCAGGAACATGTGGTCCGGTCCAGCAACTTTTGGCAGCTACTGTTTGCAGGTGCGTACGCGGCAATGAAATTAACGCCAACTGCAGCATAATTACAATATAAATGGGCAGCCTTTGCCATATATGGCGCATCCTCAATGTCAAGTTGCGCGCACGTAATTGGCGATCGCCTCTGCAATTTGTGGCCATTTGCTGAGTGCGGTGTGCGCAACTGCAGGAGCCACCCTCGTTGTTGGAGAATGCTCAGTATCAGCTGCATAATACATGCTGATTGAGCAACATTTTTGCGCAACCCACTGACAAAACAACGCGCCTATCGACAGACAATCAACAACGGCAGCAACTGCAACCACATCCTTTCCACCTCCGCGTCCGTTATGCAGCTTACTTCCTGTCCAGCAGCCGCACAATCTTTCATTCATGAAATTTGTTGCCGTTGTCATTGTTTGTGTTGCAAATCAAATGCCCGGCGGCAGCAGCAGCAGCAGCAGCTACAGCAACAGTTACTGTCTTGGTCGCATAAATTGCTGCTGTTACTACTGCTGCTGTTGCTGCTGGCGGGGATTGTTGCCCCGTTCACTGTTCCACTTTGGCCGCAGCAAATCTGTGGCTCTGCGGCTCTGTGGCTCTGCGGCTGTGAGGCTGCGTTTTTGACGCAGTTATTTTAACGAATTTATTTGCAGCGCTTTCATGGTCAGCGCAACAATTTAATGTAATTTAAATGACGTGCCCAGTACACAAGCGCAAAGGACAGGTGCAGATTCTGAAGAGTTTGCTCAGTCTGCGCACTCTGTTTAGTCTTCAGTCTTTAGTCTTCAGTCTACGTCTGCTTCCTACGGTGGGAGTATGCAGCCTGTTCGCATTTTTCTGCTCGGCGGCGGCTCCTTTGTGGCGACATTGACGACAACGTCGACGCACACAGCGGAGGACGACGACAGGCAATGTCGCTATCAAGTTTTTGGGCGAGCGGACACATTTTAATGATGAGTCGGACGACTCTGGAATTGGGCCTGTTTCTGTTGCTGTTTCTGTCGCTGTTGCCGTCGCTGTTGCCGTCGATGCCACTGCAGTTGTTGGTGCTGTCTCTGCTGGCGACTGCTGCTGCTGATACAAGGGAAATGCTAATTTGCGTATGTCGCTTTTTGCAAGTGCCGATCGAGTTGTGGCTCTTAACGAGCTAACAAGAGTATTACACGTGCCTCATTGAGCACACTTTAATGCATTTGTAATCAATCTTGGCATGACATCCAATAGTTATGTTTTTAAATTAAAGATCTGAGAGAGCGAGCTATTAGCTTTATAATGTTCAACTTTTACTAAGTGTGTTCTCAAATGATTTCAATGAAACAAATACTTTAATATGTCTAATATTATTTGTTTTAATTGTATTCAAATTATCATTTTAACAAAACTGCTGACTGAAGTGTATTGAGACTTCGTTGTCTCACATCCGCAATTCTTTGCCCTTGTCTTTCTCTTGCGTTTTAATCAGTCATTCAGTTGGCTAAATTGAGTCGCCATCCTCTTCGTTGTCGTCTCCATGGCATCTCTTTCTCTTTCGCCGGCTATTCACTCTGTATCAATTTAGAGTTTCGCTTTGGTTCATTTGCGTGGGCCGATTGTTCGACTGTCGGATCCGATATTTAATTGCTTATTAATAAGGCTTATTAGTTGACTGGCCGAGCAGGTGCAAAGACAGTAAATTAGTTACGGACTTAACTGGCAATCAGTGAAACATTTCAAAGTTAAACATAGCCAATCGCCGTGTGAGACTAGAGAGAAGCCACCAACACACTTACCTAATATATGAATACATTCATGACAGAGATTCAGATAAAAATACAGAAAACAGATTGAGTTTCGATTTCATTTTGAATTTGTGTCTTTGAAGAATGAAGTCAGGCAAACGACTGTCACAAATTATGCGCAATCAATGTACAATCAATTAAAGTCACCAAATTTAAGCAAAACAAATTCAAAATAAAAGCAAAGGGTATCGAGAAGAACAATTGATTTCAATTTGCAATCAAATTGAAATGAAATCAATGACAAAACAAAAACGATAAAGGCGACAACTTACACCCGCATAGAATACGAGGCGGCTTTGCTGCTGTTCGTTTAATTGATGTTGCTGTCGTTATCGTTGCTGTCGTTGCCGTTGTCGGTGGGTGTGTGAGGGGTGAGAGCGAAGAGCAGCTTTTGCCTATTGCGTGACGCTGGCTGTTAGAATTGTGGCTGCCAGTTGGCGATTTATTTCACTTGCGAGCTGCTCTTCTCTGCGCTGTTGCTGCATTGCCTTTGGGGAAACAATAAAATAAAGTGGCAAACAGTCAACAGCTACAGCAGCAGCAGCAGCAGCAACGTCAT